TTAACCCAGAATGCCAAGGGGCAGCGGAGACTGCAGGAACTGTGGGATAGCTACTCACAGTGCACCGCTCCATGATTTGATGCTAGCCACGGTATTGAGGACGCATTCTGATGACTTAATGCGCTTAGTGGGGACGTACACAATCGACTGTATAAAATCGATTTCTAAAGATCAACTTCTATAAAAGCGACCTAATTTTGTAGTGTAAACATACCCTTATTCACTTACCAAACAACCTATGACCCTATATTTCACCTTCTCCATATTACTTCCACATCTACCACCTACACCACACAGACTTCCTCTCTCCACCTTCAACATCAAACTCAGAGCAAGTACAGTAGTTAGAAATGGATGTCTAAGCTTTCAGACCACTGAAGCAGATAGCTAGTATGAATGGTATACACTTTTAGTTGATAGCTATACTTAAATGTGCTACATTTGAAATAGTTACCACTCTTTCACTGGTAACCAAGGGATAGGCCAGACGGTAGTGAAGAAGTTCAGGGAGATAGCAACAGGGTCTGGGAGCTGGAGCAAATCATGGTTGTTAGACATAGGGTCCCTGGGCTGGAACCTGGAGTACAAGGGGAGCCTGGGTTCCCCTACCAGCCACTGGGGAAGGGTACAATCTGGGCAATAGAAAGAAAGACTTCCTGAGACAGATAGTTTAGAGGGACTTTGATACCTCAGAATAGGAAAACGATAATGACCTAGTGAAACCAGACATAGGGGGAGTTACGGAGAGGGATCAATCGAGTCCAAATAAAGAGAAGGAGAGACACAGCGTGAGCGACTAAAGGAAGGGGCATCAGACTGGTCGAAAACTAATCCCCGGCCACATGGAGGTGTCACAACAGTGAGTAGTAAACCCAATGACTGGGTCACTTCCAGGATACTGGTCACAGGCTGGGGCATTGACCAGACCATGTGACTGACACCTTTCCAACATGGCAGCAGCTCCTCCCTCCACCTTCTCTGCTGGCTGCCTTCTCGCCCTTCTCTATGCCTAGTACGCCTATGGGAGAAGCATTACAGATACCCTTTGTCATGGCAATGTCTTCTGAAGGAAGAAAGATACCCACAAAAAGGGGGCTGAAGGACTTTGCTGGTACTGGATGCTAAGAGGAGAGCTAAGGGTCTTTGTGGGCGCTCTACACGCTTCTATAGCCTTTCAGGTTTACTCCGCAGCCAGAGAGGAGTTCAGGTGCTTTGGGAATGTTGTGGGAAGGAGACAAGATGGGTAAGATAATATTTTTTTATTGGACCAACTTCTGTTGGTCCAATAAAAGAGACAAGCTTTTGAGCTTACACAGAGCTCTTCTTTGGGGCAAGGAAGGGGCTAATGGGCTTTACAGGACACTGTAGGAACGCTGTCAGGATATTACAAGAGGCTGAAGGACTGGGGAGAAATAAGAGAGTGGTGGATTACAGGGGAGAGGTAAGAGTAAAAAAGTTAATCAGAGGCTAAAATGGCCAAGATAGACTGTTGTTCCATATGAGATATTTAAAATACTTGCACAGTATTGTCTCTCTTTACTTTTTATTTTATTTTTTTTAAATAATTCCTATCATTCTACTAGAGTTTACTCATGGTATTTT